CCCTGGTTGAGGCTCCCAGCGCACTCCGACCCATGGCACACAGACTGAGAACAGCGGTGGTGCCAGTGACCAGTCAGGGGGCCGGCTGGGGCCTCTCGAAGAAGCCTCAGTAGCTGGTGCAGGCTGATTCACAGCTGCTTCTGACGTTCAGGCGCCACGTAAACAGGCTTTATAACTCAGGTGGGCCATCTTGGCCAACTACGGCACAATTAAAGTGTGAATTTTAGTCACTGTGAGGCTTCGCCATATGACCCTCTGTGACTGTGACCTGCACCAGCAGAGCTTGGGCACTCTGGATTTGCAGAAATAGCCTGAGACAGGTATTTTATTACTGGACAGGGTTTTCCCGTGTCATGTGAAACAAATGTGAATCTTAGCCCACAAATGCACTCGTTCAAAAATCACAACTGTATTCTCTGTAACGCCGTCTGGCTCCATGGCTCCTACGGCCCCTAACTGAGGTTTCCATCACATCTCTGGCACAGTGAGACTTCTGTGGTGATGAAGCGTGGAGGGCATTGGGTCATGAGTCTATACAGGCGACCACTGAGAAACCAGCTGTCTGTGCCCCAGATTTCGTGGCTATCTCAAAGTGCCATTCTTTAAAACAACAAACTTTTGTCACGTCTTGACTGAGACTATCCCGATTAGAAGAGGTGGGATAAGAAAATTCCTGCCCACTGCACAGTAGTAAATAGTGTCACAGTTACGTTAACCCAATTGAGTTTTACAGAGTGACTGAGATACTTGGCAACTGCCCCAGCCTGACCTGGATCCTGGGAAGACAAATCAAGAAGAATCTTTCCTTTTCTGCTTCGCTTTCCCCCACATTTACCAGTCTGCACTTCGGTGATCAGTGTGTGTGTTGGGGGGTGTCTGTATTGTCCAATGCACTGAGTACTGAGACAACTGTGGTAGCAGTCGATTTTGCTGGGTTTTCTAAGTTCTGTGGGAATAGGGCTGGTAATATGATATTGTGTGTGGGGCATCCAGGAAATTTTGGGTTGGATCGATTTGCTTCAGGAGTGACATCTGTTCCCATGAGAGACCAGGCAGCAGCTTCTTGAAGAAAAACAGGATTGAGATCCTCTTCTAAAACACAGCAGGTCAAGAAATTAGGGAGGGCAGAGTTTGGAATTTGGACTCTGCTGCCTTTTCATTTAGGTGAGTTCATATTTGGACTTTTAGTTTAATTCTCACTGAGAATCTACTGGAGGAGTTTTTGTTAAAATTAGAACATCTTTTATATTACTGACACTTTTCATTTGGAGTGTTTTATGCTAAAATTTGGGCAAAACACTGTCTTTCAAACGTTATTCTTAAATTACGATGTGCGTCAGGGACATGCATTATACATTGTGGCCCTATAACTGAAGCAACATTTATACAGAAGACAAATATCTCTGTGGGGATCCCCTGAAGGCAGAGCCTGGGGCGCAGGCTTGTGCGTGGGCAGTTTATTTGGAAAGTGGCACTAGAGAGTGGGAAGCAAGGGGAGCAAAACAGAAGAGTCAATGCAAGTGTTAATGGGTTCACCATCGCCATGGCAACCACAGCTTGACCTCACACAACCTCCTGAGGAGCTCACGAAATGAAACTCAGAACTGTCTCTTTGGGGGATTAACGACTGTCCCTGAATTGGGCTCCAGGGTGTCCCAAGGGTATTAACTCCCCATCCTTCCAGGGTGCATTATTGACCGGCTCCTGTGTGGACCTGGTCAGAGCAGCATCAGTGGCTGGAATAAGAGGAGAAACGGAGGATCTGAAGTGGTCACGAGAGGGGTTGGATCATGACAGTTACCCTTATCAAGTGCAAGGCATCCACCATTTAGTATTCTGCTCTAGTCCACACAGACGCACACGCACGCACACACGCACACACGCACGCACGCACGCACGCGGTTCTCAAAGTATGGTCTGGAGACCTTGTTTCAGTGCGTCTGTGTGTCCTACTGAGTCTTTGAAAAAGTATTTTCATAGTAATACTAAGATGTTATTTGTCTTTTTCACTTTCGTTCTCTCGTGAGGCTTTGTGACAGGTGGTATCGGAACAGACCGAGTGCAGAAGCAGATCTGAGAACCCAGCTGTCTTCCATTAAGCCAGGCATTAAAGAGATTTGCAAAAATGTAAAATCAACTCATTTAACTAAATTTGTTCTGTAAAATATATTTTTCATAAAATGTTAAATATTTCAAAATGTAATGAGTTTATTATCTAGAAACAAACATATTTAAAACTTCTGTCTTTAATTTCTAAGTATAACCCACATACACAAAAGCTCTTTTGGGCTCTCACTCTTTACAGAGTATAAAGAGGTCCTGAGATTAAACAAAGTGAGAATCACTGCACTAAACTGGTTGCGACCCTTCAAAGAAGTGCAGCCCAGTTTGATAAACAGTGGCGTCACCTCTGAGATACACGGACAATGTGGTTGGGAAGCAGAGTGAAAGTTCACTCAAGGTTCAAAGTGCACTGCGGGTCTGGAGTGACCAAGACCCATTTCAAGACCTTCACAGGCCCATCGCCGGCCCAGGGGAATATGAGGAAATAACGCAGACCTGGGCAGGAGCCTCAGCAGTGGGGGGCGGCTGCTCTGACACCTGTTGCTCTTCTTCCAAAATGAACGTCGACCACCCCCTCCCCTTCCCCTGGGTGGACAGGAGCCTTTGTTAAGTCCAATCGATTTAAGGCCGAAGTTCTCGGCCCTGGCTGCGTGTCTTGAGCTACCAATTACCCCTGCCTGAGCCTCACTTCAGACCAATGAATCGAAATTTCTGGGCTGGGGCACAGGCACTCTCCTTTACCTTTCTATTGATGTGTAACTTATATCGAGAGCACAAATCTTAATGATGTAACTTCATGATTTTTAAAAACATGTTATACCCAGGTAACATACTTTTTAAAATATATGTCAGATACAGATGGAGATGTAGGGCATTTCCTTCCAAAGTGATTAGCAAAGGGGGTGGGGGGAAGGGTAGGGCATTTCCAACTCACTGGCAGGCTTCTCATCAGCCTCCTGGTTATACTACTATTCCGGTGTTTGTTCCCAGGGTATTTTTCCCTGATTTTGAACTTTATATAAATGGAATCATATTGTCTAATTTTCCCCAACATTATATCTGTGATATTCATTCATGTTGTTAGGTAGAGCAGTAATTCATTCTCGTTTGCATGTCTGTGTGGTATTCTACTGAATAAACAGACCACAATTTATTTACCATTCTATCCTTGATGGAGTTGGCATGCTTCTCGAACTACTCTTAAGTGTGGTGACATAGTCTCACCATAAAATAATACAGGAACTGGGACACACTAGGGAACAGAAGCAGCAGAGTCATGTCAACTATCTCATGCTTACTGGGCAGAGAGATGGTTATCGAAATGGAAGTCCTATTTTCCCCAACTATTTAAAATTATTAATTATCTTTTTGTTACAGAAGGTATAGTCAAACTTGCATAGGTTAAAATGTGTGACGCCTCTCCCATGTAGAGATACAGGGTGTCAAAAGTTAGGCCTTGAATGCTAGATGAGTTTAGATTTGGTTCGCTTGCAAATTATACATGGTTTGTTTTTTTAAAACTTATTTCTAAGTTTTAACTTATATCTAAGTTTCTAAACCTTACATCAGATACAGCCAGATGTTAATAAGGCAGTGTCATTCAAATTAACTCATATACCAAACCTTCCAACTCCCTCAACTGTACTTCTCCAAATACTGTCTGATTCAGCAAAAGGCATAATCATGTACTCAGTTCCTTAATCCTAAAAAACCTAGGAACGACACTTGCTCACAACTTCTTTCAGTAGCCTGCCCTCCCTGCAAACCCAGATCCACGTACCCAGTGAGCTATGTCTCCAAGGAATGCTGCGAAGCTGTCCACCCCCTGCCCACTGCTACCGCTCTGCTCTAAGTGGCAAGCGTTCCCTGCCTGGACTGACACGATAGCCTCCTGACTGGTCTCAGTGCTACACGTTTTTTTTTTTTAAGAGACAAAAGGAAAGTTTACTAGAAAAGGGGCAACACTCCACAGAGTGTGGTCTCCTCTCAGAGGCAGAGAGTGAGAGAGGATAAGAGTGGAATGGCAGTGAGTGTGTGTATGTGTGTGGTCACCTCCACACGTTTGCCCCATCCCAACTCTTCCTCTCAAATCCGTCCTCCATCTACCAGCCAGTGGCCTTTTTTTCTTTTTAGAATGTTTGATCTTCATCTGTGCACTGGGTGAGCCAGTGGCTCTTTAAAATCACAAATCGGCTATGTCACACCTGTCCTTAAAGCCTACCAGCTGCTCAGTATCCAAAATGCCGCAAACTCACCACACTGACACTTAAACCCAGCTTGCTACACAGGCCTACCAGGCCCTTCACAGTCAGGGCTGGGTCTCTCTGGGCTCACCCCAGCCACAAACCCTTGGTAGTTTGCTCTAGGCCCCCTGCTGGCCTTCGGTCCTTAGGCTACACAGAGCTCCTTGCCACTCGAAGGTCTGTGCTCTAGCTGCTTCGTACTTCGAAACTCACTGTTTCTGCAATCTTGATATGACTGGCTCCTGCTTTTGCTGATTAAATCTCAGCCTCGACTGCCTCTCACTGAGCAGCCTACCCTGACCACTCAGTCTAAAGGAGTCGTCATCCCTTTGCTTTCTAGAACATTTACTATCTTAATTCTCTGCATTGCATTCATCACAAAGAATATTTTCTTGTTTATTTGCTTGGTCTATCTTCCTCTGCCTCTAAGATGTAGGCTCACTGCTTCACCCCCAGTGCCTAGAAAAATACCTGGTACGCAGTAAGTACTCAATATATTCGTTCGTGTCTTAGACACAAACTGATGTCAAGAACCCATACGTCAATGTACCCCTCCCCTAAATCTAAGAGTCCAAATTCTGGGCCTCTAAGAATACACAGCAAGAAGGACATGATTGCCCTTTGAAAGTGACAACATGAATGACTCTCTGGAGGGACTTCTCGTTTCTACTGATACTTATGTTTCACGAAGTCTGCTTTATGGTAATGCAGTGCTTTATTTATTCTGTCCATAAATAACTAATATTTGAGAACATTTACAATATAAATAGAACTTAATCTAAGACAAGTTCAACTTACATTTTTTAAAGTATTTCAAGAGTAAGTATTCATAAGAGAGATAATTATGGTCAAACTGTTATGTCAAAAACTTATAATAAATGTTTGATGTTAGTCTACATACAATTCAGTTGGTGTAAAGTTCATTGGCTGCAAGAAAGAACATTTGGTTTACTTCGCTGATAGAAATATCCCTTAATGCTGGGATGGCCTCTTCTTGGTATTTCTTCTGCTGTTGATTTTTAGCATAGTTATCTGCAAGAAGAGGACAAAAGGCTTTGTTCACCCAAACAATTTCGTCCATAGTCTCTGTGGTGTATAAAGACCCACCATATAACTTACGAGGCTAATGTTTGGATAATGACAAATACCACATTTAAATATAATTAAAAGATGACTTGAATTATCTCCCTCTGCCTCTAAGAATGTCCCAATTAGAAATCAAAGTAGTTTTATGCACCTCTAACTTGGTTAAGAAATTAATATTTCATTCAACTGTCCAATAATTAAAGTCCCACTTGCACATTTCTCATAGGAACAGAATTCTATCCAAGCTTAAAATATATATTTAAATCGACACCTGGAAACTATTGAATCATTTGGTACGATTAGTCATTCATCCAAACAACACTTTCCCTTCTCTGCAAAATTGTCTATTTGCTGTAGTTCCAGTCAAGAATGCAGAGAATACAGCAGGTTATCAGAAAAGAAATATAAAAAGACTACAATTAATTTTTAAAATGCATTGTATAGGCTCACGAAAAAAGGCTTTTGAAAAGTTAAAAAACCATTCCAGGGAACGTAAAAAATACTTCCTAGAATCTAAGCAAGCTTAAGAATCTAACTTATTTTAATCTTTAGACTTGAACAAAAACTTAAAAAAAAAGAACTGCAAATACATGCTGTGGTTCGTCTATCCACTTAATTGGGGTCAGGTGTACACAGTGATCCTGAGGATACAGCCCCTCAAATCCTGCCTCCCCGACAAGGTCTGCATGGACCTCTGCCATCCCTTGATCAACGCTGCCTATTTAGGATAAAAGAAGTTTCTCTCAGGCAGTTGTTGAAGAACATATTATACACCCGTGGTGTTTATGGGACATACACCTGTTTATTAGAGCTATAAACAGCATAGTCATCAGAACTTACTTTCCCCATGTAAACATTCCCTTTGCATTTATTTCTCCCAGGATCTTTTTACTGTGCCGATGTGTGTCACTTATTGCAGGCTACTCTTGGTTGCTTTTCTTCATAAAAGCGCTAATGCCCACTCTCCGTCCCCTAGCACTCTCCTTTGATGTGAATTTACCTGTGATTGTATGAATGGAGTTGAGTGGAGAGGTACTCATCATGTTGATTCCAAACAGGAGCACATACCCGATGACTACAGTAATGAGGAGGTAGACAGGCAATGCGACTGCCCAGTACCTGCGGAAGACGACTTTAGAGTAGATAACAGATTTCTCAACAAGTTTTAATTTCTAAGAGTCCATCACTAAGTTAACATAACTTTTAAAATTTAATTTTAATTAAAGCAACCCATGTACATAAAAGAAAGTCAAATAATTCCACAAGGCCTGTAATAAACTCCAGCCTTCTGCAGGGGAGGGTAGGGTTGGTTTCCCTGATTTGAGGGCTGAGGAGGGGGACTGGAGGGTCTAACGCTCTTTAAACATTGTTTTCAGCCCAATCCAGAATTACCATGCTAAAGAGGTATCTGGTACCTCCAAGTGCCAAGCCTTTCTGGCATTCTAGGGCACCAATACTCTTGCTGGTGGCTCTACTTCAGCAATATGGAGAATGGGGAAACCAAGTCGGTTAACACTCAGCTGTTTGCAATCTACTTCCTCAAATTTCATTGATACTTCTTACCCGCTATCCCATTATTTGTTCCTGTGGGTTTATACCTTAGAAATTTTTTTTCTATAGGGTTACTTCAGCAAGATGGGAGACAACGGAGATAAATGTGTGTTCACCCCGTCTTCTTTAATTAGAGATTTATCAATAATGAGCTTTAAAAAGCTTTAAATTTCTATATGGCTTTTCATTTATATATCTTAAAAAAAACAAATATTTAAGATTTGGGTAGTGTAAAGAAAAATCTGATCCTTCAAAATAGTATTAACATACTCTTATTTTATTTAAGCAATATATTAAGCTTACTTTTGAGGCCAATAGGTCAAGCCTAAGGAGTTTAGCCAAGATTCAGGAATAAAAGCCCACACGAGATACAACACTGTAGAAGAGAGAGAAAAAAAGGTCAGTAAGGCATGCAGCTCTTGTTGAGGTCCAGATGTAACAAAAAGCTCCTATGAAGCATCCCTGATCCACTCAGAAACGATTTCTCCTTCCCTTCAGTTATTCTAGCTCCTTATTTGTATCATTCTTATAACAGTTATCACAATGACCTTACAGTAGACATCTTTTTATAGTGGTAAAAAAAATAACAAAATTTACCATAAAACTTACCCATTTTTAAGTGTCTAGTTTGGTAGTGTTAAGTATATTCGCACTGCTGTGAAACAGATCTCTAGAACTTTTCTATTGCAGATCTAAAAACTAATACCCATTAAACAACTCTTTTTCTTCATTAGTCAATTTAAAAAGAAAGTCTTAACTCTCACACTATATTTTAAGTAATTTAAGGGCAGAAATCATGCCTTAGCAATTCTTGTAATCCTTACAGCACTTAGCGATTTGCTTTATGCATAGTAGGTGTTCAACACTTCATCCCACAAGGTTGAAATAATTATAGACATTTAAGGCTTAAAGATGAATTTATATAGCCTTGCTCTGATCCACTACACATTGGGCTTCTGCTTTATCTCCCAAAACATAATCTTATTTCCTCAGTCCAAGTCCCTGGCACCCTTTACCATTGTCCCCATGTAATAATGACAGTGGATCTCTGAGCATTCACTGCGGGGTAAGCACATTTCTAGGCTCTTCACCTGCATTATTTCACTTAATCCTCAAGACAATTCTGTGTAGAGGAGGAAATGGAATCTTAGAAATGTTACATCATTTGCCCACAGTAAGTGGCAGGGACAAATTTCAAACTACCTATAGCAATGCTGATGTAAACACGTATTACAAAATTTTGTATGTACGAAACGTGAGATACAAAAGTGAACCCACAAGAGATGGCCTCTGCCCTCCATGAGCTTAAAATCTAGCAGGGAATAGAGATGAGTAATATTTTTGCTACACTGTGCTAAGTGCTAATGAGCGAGTAATAAAGCATGATACAGGAGCACCAAGGAAGGACCTGAGCCCACACTGTGTTGATGAAGTTAATGTTGATGGTCAGGAAAAATTTCCTGGAGGAAGCGACTAAAACTGGAGCCTAAAGGACAAATATGGGGTTAGCTGGATTAAAAATGTTTATGGGTGGGCCTGTAGAAGAAAGGAAGGAAGGAAATAAGAGAAAATAGTATTCTCTGCCGTGATCCATGAAGAGAACAAGAGAGATCTGGTGTGGCTAGATGGCAGAGGGAGAGGGTTGTGAGCAACTGGCTTGAAACTTGAGAGAGTTTTTAAGGTTAATAAAATACAAATTGTGGGGAAACAAAATGTAAATTCATAAATGGAAATAATTAGATGATTAAGCATTTATCGAACATCTACTATATGCCAGGCACTATGTGAAGGTCAAGAGTATACAGAAAAATAAGACACAGTCCCTATTCTCACAAATTAGTACACCTCAAACTCTTCAGAGGTATGTGCTATTGTTATTCGTAATTCACAGAAGAAAAAAATGGAGACTCAGGGAATTTAAGTAACTTGTCCCAAATCTCACAGCTAAAAGTGACTGCGCTGGAACATGAACCCATGCAGCGTGTTCACAGCATGCTTTCAGGCAGAGGCAAGAGCATTAACAGAAATATGGAGGTGAGAAGCGTGATTTAGGTGAAACTCTCAGCAGTTTAGAGTGGCTGGGACATGAAGCACAAGGCTGTGACTGCTGAGAAATAAAGTTTGAAAAAACAGATCCCAGATAATGAAAAATCTTGTAAAAGGAACATGGACTTTATGCTCTAGGCAATGGGGACAACTGGATATTCTACTTGTTTTTAACTTTAAAGATATAGCAAACTATAAAGAGAAATAACCATGAATGCTCCGACCAGAGGTTTTAGGTAGGGGAGTTCTGGCCTGCATCTAAGTGAGTCACCATGATGGGTGCGTGTCAGATGTGTCTGCCTCCAGAGAGGCGGTGGAGGCCCATGGGATTCAGTGGCAGGTGGGGATGAATGAGTTGTGGGGAGGGGAAGTTCAAGTAAGAACAACCCCAGGTTTCCAGAGCGAGTGCCCAGCAACTCTGGCCCTAAAGTAAGAGAACACCTGAGCATTCTCCACACAGCGACGAGTGCTCTTGCAAAAATATAAATCTGACCGTATCACTTCGCTGCTCAAAATTTTCAGTCCCTTAGGATAAAATCCGAACTCCTTACCAGCGTTTGGAAGGACATCAATGATCTGGCTCTTGCCTCCTCTCCAGCCTAGGCCTGGCACACTGTGCTCCAGTCCACATCTCAAGGCCACTGCACTTGTAGCGAGTACTGTCTGCCTGGAATGCTCTTCCCTCGGCTCTTTAAACCGATGGTTCCTTCTCCTGCTTCATGTCTTAGCTCAAATCTCACTTTAAGAGAAGCTTTCCCCAATAACTTGCTATTACAGCTCTTTCCTACCCACCACCCTCTCATTTTTATCATTTCCCCTTATTTCCTTCAAGGCTATTATCATTTTCTGTAATTACTGTTATGGACTGAATGTTTGTGTCCCTCTGGAATTGATATGGTGAGGCCCTAATCCCCACTGTGCTGGTATCTGAAGGTGGGCCTTTGGGAGGGAAGGAGGTTATGAGGTCAAGAGGGTGGAGACCCATGATGGGATTAACGCCCTTTTTAAGAAAAGGAGAAGACGAGAACTCACTCACGCTCTCTGCACTATGTGAGGGCACAGCAAGAAGGTGGCTGTCTGCAAGCCAGGAAGAAAGACTTCACCAAGAACCCAACAAGGCAGGCACCCTGATCTTGCACCTCCTAGATTCCAAGCTGTGAGAAAAACATGTCTATTGTTTAAGTCACCCAGTTTATGGTGTTTCGTTATAGCAGCCTGAGCAGACTAAGACAATCATCTCATTTTTAAATAGCAACTATCTCAATGTAGGGAACCACGTAACCCTCCTGCACCTGCCACCTAGCTTTACTGTAACTGCAGGGAACTGACCTCTGAACTCCTTTATCCAGTTACTTTCTGCCTCACTTTCTCAGGCTTCAACCTCACTGACCCCCATCTGTTCCTTGAACCCACAGGCATGCTTCTTCCGAAGGGTTTCCACACTGGCTAGTCCCTGTCTGGGAGGCTCCTTGCTCCAGATTGTCACATGGCTCTGTCTTTTCATGTCTGTGCTTAAACCTCATCTCAGTGAGGCACTTCGGGACTGCCGTATTTAAAACAGCAACCTCCTCCTATCCTCCTTTCTTGCTGAATTTCTCCCCCTGGTACATGTTATTGTCTGACATTGTATATGGTTTAGTTATTTGTCTAGTGGGGCTTTCTTGACCCACTAGAATGAACACTCTATGAAAACAGTAGATTTTTGACTGTTTGCTCCTCCTTTGCCTATAGCAGTGCTTGGCACATAGTAAGCACTCAAAAATTTGTTGAATTAATTTTTGTTGAGTATTACTGGATTTAGGTCTTAAAGTTACTGCTTTTATTTGTGTAGTTTCCAATCCTTCAAATACACTATGGAACAGGGATTTACAAAAAAGACGATGTTGCTGGTAATAACAGCAGCAAACATTTAAGTATTACTGTTTCTATGCATTGTTTTAAGTGCTTTGCATAAATTATGGCAATTAATCCTCACAACAGCCATAAGAAGGAGCAAAATGAAGCCAATCTAGTACCTGGGTTCAAATTCTAGCTCTATCATTTACTGGCTGTGTGACCTTGGGCACATTACTTAAAATCCGTGTGCCTCAGTATTCTCATATGTAAAATGAGGACAATACTTACCTCATAAGACCGTCTTGTGAATAAGCACTGAACAAACACTATTAGATGAAGAATGTGAAGACTCAGATTGGTTAACAGTCCCAGGTCACACAGCCAATCTAGGAGGAGTCAGGATTTGAACTCAACTTGTGACTTCACTCCACAGGCTTCCCTCTCAATGGCTTGGCAGGCCACATTGAAGTAGTTAAGGTTCAGAGGCACTATCACAACCCCACCTCCCTGGTTTCTGCAAAAAACCAAGAAGTTGGATCATGGGCACTCAGTTTTCTCCCTTGTTTTCCTCGTGATTCTCAAATCCTTTTGGGGAGAGACCCGGGCCTACTGTGTGACTCTGGATATTACTGTCCCAGTGAGCACTGGTTTCCTCACCTGTACAAAGAGATCTATCTTATGGGGACCCAATGAGGTCCAGGATGTGAAGCCACCTGACTCTAGCCAGATTCCCTTCACTCCCTGGCTCCCACATGCTGCACTGGAGTCACGCCAAATCACTCACTTCCAAACCCTTCATTCAAGGCCTTCCTCCTTCTAGCTGGGAAGAAAGCCAATCTCCCAGTTTGATTTCATGTCTCTCCACTGGGCTCCTATGACACTTATCACACTGCTAATTGTAGATTTACTTGTCTGTCTTGTCCATTAAGACCAAGACCACAGAGACTGGCTTTTATTCACTTTGCAATCCCGTCTGGTGCTGTATAAATATTTAAGATTAAATCTTTTAGGCTAGTATCTGCATATAGAACACCCTGAACAAACATGAGTTCCCTTTAGGTTTTCTTAGAAAGAAACATAGGTAGAAGGCATCACAGTTCATGTGGGTATATTTTAAGAACGAACGCAATAATTTCCTTGTCCTTGAACACAAGCAAAAGGCCGTGGCCATCCATCAGGAAAGTACTTACTGAAGCCAAATTGGGAGCTTAAGAAAAGAACAAAGCCATAAATCGCTCTTTCTGGCAATGGCGACGGTGAATTTTCCACCATTTTCCCTGTGGCTTTAGACAATCTGTGGGGAAGAAACACAATCACCCGTCAGTGATGTACTCCCCCTCATCACGGGCCTGTGACAATCTCATCGCTTGGCTACGGGCACAGCCTCTGCGGTGTTTTTCCCAGCCTAAAGCACTGCGAACTGCCATCCAGCGCACACACCTCCAAACACACGCCCGCTTGCACGCGCGCACTCCAGCCCCCAAACCTCGCGTGCACGCGCACACCCTGCCGCGGAGGGGAGGGGATGGCTGAGAAGGGACAGAGGCGCCTCCATCTCTGCAGGCTTCGCCTCCCTGCGGGAAAGGCAGGGCAGGTCGGCGGACTAGGCCCGGGCGGCCTCTTCAGGCCTGGGCCGCGTCGCCCAGGACCAGCCTCTGCCTTCTCGGGGGTGCGGGAGCGCTTCTTTGTTTCATTCGAGGATGAAGGGGGTGACCCTCGACCCGGGGTCCTTCAAGCGCCCATTTGAGCCCCTCCCAACAGCTCGACTACCTCAGCGCTGAGTCCCCTGCGCAAGCGCCGACCCTGGAGCCGCAGGGGGGCGAGAGAGGAAAAGCCCAGCGAACAGCCGAGTGGACGACGCCC